TCATTAGGGTCTAGGCTGGGTTACTGTAAAGCTCTTTCATTAGGGTCTAGGCCGGGTTACTGTAAAGCTCTTTCATTAGGGTCTAGGCTGGGTTACTGTAAAGCTCTTTCATTAGGGTCTAGGCTGGGTTACTGTAAAGCTGTTTCATTAGGGTCTAGGCTGGGTTACTGTAAAGCTCTTTCATTAGGGTCTAGGCTGGGTTACTGTAAAGCTCTTTCATTAGGGTCTAGGCTGGGTTACTGTACAGCTCTTTCATTAGGGTCTAGGCCGGGTTACTGTAAAGCTCTTTCATTAGGGTCTAGGCTGGGTTACTGTACAGCTCTTTCATTAGGGTCTAGGCTGGGTTACTGTAAAGCTCTTTCATTAGGGTCTACGCTGGGTTACTGTAAAGCTCTTTCATTAGGGTCTAGGCTGGGTTACTGTAAAGCTCTTTCATTAGGGTCTAGGCTGGGTTACTGTAAAGCTCTTTCATTAGGGTCTAGGCTGGGTTACTGTAAATCTCTTTCATTAGGGTCTAGGCTGGGTTACTGTAAAGCTGTTTCATTAGGGTCTAGGCTGGGTTACTGTAAAGCTCTTTCATTAGGGTCTAGGCTGGGTTACTGTAAAGCTCTTTCATTAGAGGCTGGGTTACTGTAAAGCTCTTTCATTAGGGTCTAGGCTGGGTTACTGTAAAGCTCTTATCTTGTGATAACTGCTGATGTAGCACGGGCTTATTAAATACATTTGATTCCCTTTTGTTTGTTTCCATCCAGAAAATCCTTGGTGTTTTCAAACCAAAGTCTGAGGAGCCTTACGGTCACCTCAACCCTAAATGGACCAAATACTTTCACAAGGTAACACTATGCTCTGGTTTGTTTCTATCACTGGCTTTTACTGTTCTCTCTCCTCTCCTCTCCTCTCCTCTCCTCTCCTCTCCTCTCCTCTCCTCTCCTCTCCTCTCCTCTCCTCTCCTCTCCTCTCCTCTCCTCTCCTCTCCTCTCCTCTCCTCTCCTCTCCTCTCCTCTCCTCTCCTCTCCTCTCTCTCCCCCCTTTCTCTCTCCATTCATTATAACAGTATTCATTTAACTCTCCCCATCCCTCTACCCTCCCTCTCCCCTCTCATCCCCCTCCTCCTCCCTCTGTCCTCTCCCCCTCCTCCCCTCTCCTCCCCTCTACCCTCCCTCTCCCCTCTCCTCCCCCTCCTCCTCCCTCTGTCTCTCTCTCTATGTCTGTAGCTGTGCTGTCCGTGTTGTTTTGGCCGTGGCTGCCTGATCCCCAACCAGGGCTATCTCTCTGAGGTTGCTGCCTCCCTCGTCGATACCAGGCTAGGACTGGGGGTGGTCCCCAAAACCAAGGTGAGGGGGGGTCTCAGGCTGTGTGTCTGGTCAGTGATAATAACAGTGTTCTCAGGCTGTGTGTCTGGTCAGTGATAATAACAGTGTGTCTCTCAGGCTGTGTGTCTGGTCAGTGATAATAACAGTGTTTCTCAGGCTGTGTGTCTGGTCAGTGATAATAACAGTGTGTTTCTCAGGCTGTGTGTCTGGTCAGTGATAATAACAGTGTGTTTCTCAGGCTGTGTGTCTGGTCAGTGATAATAACAGTGTGTTTCTCAGGCTGTGTGTCTGGTCAGTGATAATAACAGTGTGTTTCTCAGGCTGTGTCTGGTCAGTGATAATAACAGTGTTTCTCAGGCTGTGTGTCTGGTCAGTGATAATAACAGTGTGTTTATCAGGCTGTGTATCTGGTCAGTGATAATAACAGTGTGTTTCTCAGGCTGTGTGTCTGGTCAGTGATAATAACAGTGTGTTTCTCTCAGGCTGTGTGTCTGTCTGGTCAGTGATAATAACAGTGTTTCTCTCAGGCTGTTTGTCTGGCCCTGGTCTGGGTGTATCTGGTCAGTGATAATAACAGTGTTTCTCTCAGGCTGTGTGTCTGGTCAGTGATAATAACAGTGTGTTTCTCAGGCTGTGTGTCTGGTCAGTGATAATAACAGTGTTTCTCTCAGGCTGTGTGTCTGGTCAGTGATAATAACAGTGTTTCTCTCAGGCTGTGTGTCTGGTCAGTGATAATAACAGTGTGTTTCTCAGGCTGTGTGTCTGGTCAGTGATAATAACAGTGTTTCTCAGGCTGTGTGTCTGGTCAGTGATAATAACAGTGTGTTTCTCTCAGGCTGTGTGTCTGGTCAGTGATAATAACAGTGTGTTTCTCAGGCTGTGTATCTGGTCAGTGATAATAACAGTGTTTCTCAGGCTGTGTGTCTGGTCAGTGATAATAACAGTGTGTTTCTCAGGCTGTGTATCTGGTCAGTGATAATAACAGTGTGTTTCCCAGGCTGTGTATCTGGTCAGTGATAATAACAGTGTTTCTGTCTCTCAGGCTGTGTATCTGGTCAGTGATAATAACAGTGTGTTTCTCAGGCTGTGTATCTGGTCAGTGATAATAACAGTGTGTTTCTCTCAGGCTGTGTGTCTGGTCAGTGATAATAACAGTGAGTTTCTCAGGCTGTGTGTCTGGTCAGTGATAATAACAGTGTGTTTCTCAGGCTGTGTGTCTGGTCAGTGATAATAACAGTGTGTTTCTCAGGCTGTGTGTCTGGTCAGTGATAATAACAGTGTGTTTCTCAGGCTGTGTGTCTGGTCAGTGATAATAACAGTGTGTTTTCTCAGGCTGTGTGTCTGGTCAGTGATAATAACAGTGTGTTTCTCAGGCTGTGTGTCTGGTCAGTGATAATAACAGTGTGTTTCTCAGGCTGTGTATCTGGTCAGTGATAATAACAGTGTGTTTCTCAGGCTGTGTGTCTGGTCAGTGATAATAACAGTGTGTTTCTCAGGCTGTGTGTCTGGTCAGTGATAATAACAGTGTGTTTCTCAGGCCGTGTGTCTGGTCAGTGATAATAACAGTGTGTTTCTCAGGCTGTGTATCTGGTCAGTGATAATAACAGTGTGTTTCTCAGGCTGTGTATCTGGTCAGTGATAATAACAGTGTGTTTCTCAGGCTGTGTGTCTGGTCAGTGATAATAACAGTGTGTTTCTCAGGCTGTGTGTCTGGTCAGTGATAATAACAGTGTGTTTCTCAGGCTGTGTGTCTGGTCAGTGATAATAACAGTGTGTTTCTCAGGCTGTGTGTCTGGTCAGTGATAATAACAGTGTGTTTCTCTCAGGCTGTGTGTCTGGTCAGTGATAATAACAGTGTGTTTCTCAGGCTGTGTATCTGGTCAGTGATAATAACAGTGTGTTTCTCAGGCTGTGTATCTGGTCAGTGATAATAACAGTGTGTTTCTCAGGCTGTGTGTCTGGTCAGTGATAATAACAGTGTGTTTCTCAGGCTGTGCATCTGGTCAGTGATAATAACAGTGTGTTTCTCAGGCTGTGTATCTGGTCAGTGATAATAACAGTGTGTTTCTCAGGCTGTGTATCTGGTCAGTGAGACGTTTCACTACAACACTATCGACAGGGCCAAGTCCAGAGGAAAGAAATACGCCCTAGAGAAGGTTCCCAAAGTAGGACGACGCTTCCACAGAGTGGGCCTGCCCCCCAAGGTACCCTGACCCTACGTCTTAACCCTGACCCTACGTCTTAACCCTGACCCTACGTCTTAACCCTGAACCTACGTCTTAACCCAGACCCTACGTCTTAACCCAGACCCTACGTCTTAACCCAGACACTACGTCTTAACCCTGATACTACCTTAACCCTGACCCTATGTCTTAACCCTGACCCTACGTCTTAACCCTGACCCTACGTCTTAACCCAGACACTACGTCTTAACCCTGACACTACGTCTTAACCCTGACCCTACGTCTTAACCCAGACACTACGTCTTAACCATGACCCTACGTCTTAACCCAGACCCTACGTCTTAACCCTGACCCTATGTCTTAACCCTGACCCTACGTCTTAACCCTGACCCTACGTCTTAACCCTGACCCTACGTCTTAACCCTGACCCTACGTCTTAACCCTGACCCTACGTCTTAACCCTGACCCTACGTCTTAACCCTGATTCTATGTCTTAACCCTGACCCTATGTCTTAACCCTGACCCTATGTCTTAACCCAGACACTACGTCTTAACCCTGACCCTACGTCTTAACCCAGACACTACGTCTTAACCCTGACCCTACGTCTTAACCCTGACCCTACGTCTTAACCCTGACCCCACGTCATAACCCAGACACTACGTCTTAACCCTGACCCTACGTCTTAACCCATATTCTATGTCTTAACCCTGACCCTACGTCTTAACCCTGATTCTATGTCTTAACCCTGATTCTATGTCTTAACCCTGACCCTATGTCTTAACCCTGACCCTACGTCTTAACCCTGATTCTATGTCTTAACCCTGATTCTATGTCTTAACCCTGACCCTATGTTTTAACCCTGACCCTACGTCTTAACCCTGACCCTATGTCTTAACCCAGACACTACGTGTTATTACCACATGTTTGAAAAATGTCTGCACTCACTAACTGTAAGTCGCTCTGGATAAGAGCGTCTGCTAAATGACTAAAATGTAAAATGTAAACTATGTCTTAATCCTGTCCTCCAAGGTACCCTAACCTGTGTGTGTCCTGCATCTGTCTGTTTCTCTGTCTTTTGTTTGTGTGTGTGTGTGTGTGTGTGTGTGTGTGTGTGTGTGTGTGTGTGTGTGTGTGTGTGCGCGTGCGTGCGTGCGTGCGTCAGCTTGGTTCGTTCCAGCTGTTCGTGGAAGGTTACCATGAGGCTGACTATTGGTTGAGACGTTTTGAGGCGGAGCCTCTCCCAGAGAACATCAGGAAACAGTTCCAGTGTCAGTTCGAGAGGCTGGTCATTCTGGACTACGTCATCAGAAACACCGGTAGGGGTGTGTTCGCTCACAGGAAGGAGGATCTGTAGTGTTTAGACATTTCCTGGTGACTTCCTTTCACAGTACACACACACAGTGCACGGCACACACACCACACACACACACACACAGTGCACGCCACACACACACACAGCTTGCCCACAGCGCACACACAGGGGCCTATAAAATCTGCGATACGGAGAATGGAATTCAACAATATTCAATAATGTATTGAACTTAGTAGAAAATCAACTACACTGAATAAAAACTGTACCGGGCAGAGGGCAGACAGCGTGCGTGGCGTCGTGTGGGCGAGCTTTTTTCTAATGTCAACATTGTGAACAGAGTGCCCCCTGGTGGAGGGGGGGTTTGTTATGAGGGGATAAACTACAGACAACCAACACAATGGCTTTTTATAGATGGCCGTTTTGAATGCACAGAGATACCGTGACGAGATCCTGAGGCCCATTGTCGAGCCTTTTAATGAAACATTAGCATGTTGCGTTTTTTATATATTTTTGTTCAGTGTAAATGTATTGAACTTAGTAGGAAATCAACTAAATGTATTGAACTTAGTAGGAAATCAACTAAATGTATTGAACTTATTGAAGATGAATTGATATGGCCCAAGATGATCATAAGACATGAACAGAATGCATCAGTGGTTAGTATTTTCCAGGAGTACTTCTCGGTCACCACTATGTGTTCGCCGTTTTAACGATTACGCTAATAATCATAACCGTCTTCTGGTAGATGGAAAGGCTTTCCCAAAAACATTCTCAATGAAATGTTAACTTCAAAGTAGCCTACACCTACCTGGCAGAATGATGTCATGATTATTTGCATCAATCCAGCGGCGATTTGTTTAGCAAACTCTGCAATTTACATGTGTGCTGCAGAAACACAGCTAACCAAACAAGTCTCTTGCTGGTGCACAGTTGAATAGACGACTGATCTACAACTGAATTAAAAGGTATCTACATCCGAAAATAAAACATTCTTGGATTTTTTCCCAGACCTCAAAAGTGGTCTCCTGTTGTGGTTTAAGTATTGTTGTAGACTTAAAACATCCAATTTTGTTGTTTTTCTCTTTAAAAATTGATTTTGAGAGTGAAAACTTGAAAAAACCTGGATAAATAAAACGTAGAAAACAGAATGGAAATAGGGCAAAAAATAAAACAGATTTTATAAACACACACACACACACATACACACACACACACACACACAGTGCATGCGTGATCTGGAACTCCTCCCTATAGCTTTGCATTGTGTTCTCCTCCTATGCAGAATCTAACCCATTCACCCCTTCACTCCTCCTATGCAGAATCTAACCCATTCACCCCTTTCACTCCTCCTATGCAGAATCTAACCCATTCACCCTTTCACTCCTCCTATGCAGAATCTAACCCATTCACCCCTTTCACTCCTCCTATGCAGAATCTAACCCATTCACCCCTTCACTCCTCCTATGCAGAATCTAACCCATTCACCCCTTTCACTCCTCCTATGCAGAATCTAACCCATTCACCCCTTTCACTCCTCCTATGCAGAATCTAACCCATTCACCCCTTTCACTCCTCCTATGCAGAATCTAACCCATTCACCCCTTTCACTCCTCCTATGCAGAATCTAACCCATTCACCCTTTCACTCCTCCTATGCAGAATCTAACCCATTCACCCCTTTCTCTGCTCTCTCTCTCTCTCTCTCTCGTTCTCTCCATCAGACCGAGGGAATGACAACTGGTTGATCAAGTATGAGAAGCCAGGGGAAGGAGGGGGAGAGAAGGTGAGTCCATAGATGATGTGTTTGTTGAAAGGAGTGACACGATGCACTCTGCACCCTGCATGACTCCTACTGACAACACTACAGTATGATAGACTGACTCAGGGGACTAGTGGCAGTTGGACTCTGACTGACTCTTATCTAGCATTCATTCATTCATTCATTCATTCATTGCCTTTTATAATCGCAGGTTGATGTTTATTGTCATGAATCTGAGTGATTCCCCCCCTTAGATAGGCCAACTGCAAAGTCAAAATGGTCTATATTGTAAAACTTCATGAAAACAAAGATGTGCTTTTTGGTCTTAATTTAAGGTCAGGGTTAGGCATTAGGGTTAGCAGTGTGGTTTGGGTGTTTATGACTTTGTGGCCGTGCCAGCTGGTGACCACTCTGCAGAGCTGCCTTCAGGACGAGATTCATGACAATAAATGCCAACCTGCTTTATAATCACACACGCACTCACTCACTTCTCACTCACTCACTACATTCTGATTCTCTCCTTTCTCCTGAAGTGTGCACTCGTACACTCCCTCTCATGGATTTAAAAGGAATTGGAAGTGGTCTGAGGAATATGGTGTGAAACTCCCTCCTGCTTGCACCAGTGACCAATATGGTGTGAAACTCCCTCCTGCTTGCACCAGTGACCAATATGGTGTGAAACTCCCTCCTGCTTGCACCAGTAACCAATATGGTGTGAAACTCCCTCCTGCTTGCACCAGTGACCAATCCAATGCACCAGGGGGAGTCAACGAGTGCACCCTTCTGCAGTAGGGTAGAGAATCGGAACACAGCCACTCAACCAATCAAGCAATTACTTAACCAATCAACCAATCAATCCACCCACCGTCCCTGATCAATAAGTGTTGTGTCTGTAGCTGATCAATTTGATTTCATTAGGATTTCCTTTAGCCCAAGGGCTAGTCTTCCGAGAGTCCTTAAAAAATGTGAAGAAAAAAATATACACAAATTATAAAAAGCAAAGTTAACATTTTACATTTTAGTCATTTAGCAGACACTCTTATCCAGAGCGACTTACAGTTAGTGAGTGCATACATTATTATTATTATTATTTTTATTTATTTTTTCATACTGGCCCCCTGTGGGAATCGAACCCACAACCCTGGCGTTGCAAACGCCATGCTCTACCAACTGAGCTACATCCCTGCCAGCCATTCCCTCCCCTACCCTGGACGACGCTGGGCCAATTGTGCGCCGCCCCATGGGTTAAAAACACAAAGATCCACATTCCTGTTACCTGAACATATTACCTACAACCCCCCCCCATACCTCATTTAAATACAACAGAACATATTAAAATAATCTCTTAAAACAACTATTTGGCAAGTTTTTTTTGACCTCTCTGGGAAAGGAGTTCCAGGACTTCACTGCCCTGAAACTAAAATCTCTAATCTGGGTTTTGGTGGCGTTAGTTCTGCTCCATGCTTTACCAGAGTGTTGGACCATACCCAGTTGATCATGGACAGTCGACCATTTGCTCCATGCTTTACCAGAGTGTTGGACCATACCCAGTTGATCATGGACAGTCGACCATTTGCTCCATGCTTTACCAGAGTGTTGGACCATACCCAGTTGATCATGGACAGTCGACCATTTGAGTGCATTATGTAATTCAGTCAATAATGATCAACGTGTAGCTAATCAATAAGTGTTGAATCTCTCCATCAGGACCCAGAGAGAACAGAGAGTAGAGAGCAGGCTATAGACAACCATCAATCAATCAATCAATAATGATCAACGTGTAGCTAATCAATAAGTGTTGTATCTCTCCATCAGGCCATCCAGATTGCAGCTATAGACAACGGCCTGGCCTTCCCCTTCAAACACCCTGACGAGTGGAGAGCCTGTAAGTTACTGTTGTACACACACACACACACACACACACACACACACACACACACACACACACACACACACACACACACACACATACACACATACACACACACATACACCCATACACACACACATACACACACACATACACACATACACACACACACACACACACACACACATACAACACACACACACACACACATACACCTACACACATACACACACATACATACACATTCACACACACACACCACAACACACACACATACATACACACCACACACCACACATACATACACACACATTCACACACACATACACACACCATTCACACACACACACACACCTTCACACACACATTCTCACACACACACACCACACACATACACACACAAATATACACACACATATACACACACATACATACACACATACATACACATACATAACACACACACACATTCACACACACACACACACATTCACACATACACACACATTCACACACACAACACACAACATTCACACCCACATTCTCACACACCACAAACACACATACACACACACACATATACACACACATACATACACACATACATACCACACCACACACACATTCACACACACACAACACACATTCACCCATACACACACACATTCACACACATTCTCACACACACAACCCACACACACATACAACACACACCATACATACACACACATATACACACCACACATATACACACACATACATACACACATACATACACACACATACACACACACACATATACACACACACACATATACACACACATACATACCACCATACATTACACCCACATACCCACACACACACACACATATACACACACACACCACATAATACCCTACACACATACACACACATACATACACATTCACACACACACACACACCACATACATACACACACATTCACACCACATACACACAATTCACACACACACACCCACACACACATTCACACACACATTCTCCACACACACACACACACACCACATACCCACCCAATACACACACATATACACACCATACATACACACATACATACACATACACACACACACACACACATTCACACACACACACACACCTTCACACACATTTTCACACACACACACACACCACACATACACACACACACATATACAACACATATACACACACATACATACACACATACATACACACACATACACAACACACACATATAACACACACATACACACATACATACACACATACATACACACACACACACACACACATTCACCACACACCACACACATTCACACATACCACACATTCCACACAACACACACACACATTCACACACATTCTCACACACCACCACACATACACACACACACATATACACCACACATACACACACTATACCAACACACAACACTACACACACATACATACACATACACACCACACATCCTACACCACAACACACACATACACCACCTACACCACACACACCCACCACACACACCCACACCCACACATCTCACACACACACACCACACACACCACACATTCTCACCACCACACACCCCCCCACACCACACACACACACACACACCACACACTCATACATATTACTGGTCCTTCCCCTAACCCTTTCCATTGGCGTGGCTGCCCCAGGCCTACGAACCCTCTCCCGGAACCAAAGCTTGCTCCCGTCTGTCGACATAACTTTGTTCAGACCTCTGTAGGAAAAACCTCTACGAAATGTTATGGAAACTACCGCATTCCCCTCACTCGCTCCTCTCTCTCTTCTTCTCCTGCCTCTGTCCTCTCTCCTGCTCTACTCTCTCTCTTCCTCTTCTACGCTCTCCCACAAAAAACCCCCCAAAAAAACCCCCCAAACAAAAAAAAAACCCCCCCCCCAAAAAAAAAAAAAATTTCCCCCCCAAAAAAAACCACACCCACTTTACCCCACCCCCCCCCAAACCCCAACTTTTCCCCAAAAACACAACCCCCCCAAAAAACCACAAAAACCCCCCCACAAAAATTAAAAAAAATTTTGCCCCCCACCCCCCAAAAAAACCCCCCCCCCCCCCAAAAACCCCCCCCCCCCCCCCCAAACCAAAAAAAAACCCCAAAAAAACCCCCAAAAAAACCCCAAAAAACACAAAACCCCCCCTTTCCCCCCCCCCAAAAAAAACCCCCAAAACCAAAAACCCCAAAAACCCCCCAAAATCCCCCCCCCCAAAACAAAACACAAACCCACAAAAAAACAAACCCCCCCCCCCCACACAACCCCCACAAAAAAACAAAAAAACACCCCCCCCAAAACCAAAAAAAAACCCCCCCAAAAAAAAAACCCACAAAACCCCCCAAACACAAACCCCCCCCCCCAACCCCCCCAACCCCCCAAAAAACCAAAACCACACCCCCCACCCCTTTAACCCCCCCCCAAAAACCCCCCCCCCCCCCCCCCTTTTCCCCCTTTCCCCCCCAAATTTTGGCCCCCCAAAAAATTTTTTGGGGGGCCCCCGGGGGGGCCCCCTTTCTTTTTTTTTAAAACCTTTTTTTCTTTTTTCGGGGCCCCCCTTTTCTCTCTCTCCCCCCCCCCCCTTTTTTCCCCCTTTTCCTCTCCCTTTTTTTCCCCCCCTCTCTCTCCCCCCCCCCTTTTTCCCCCCCCTTTTTCCCCCTTCCCTCTTTTTCTCTTTTTCCCTTTTTTTTTTTTTTTTTTTTTCCCCCCCCCTTCCCCCCCCCCCCTTTTCCTTTTTTTTTTTTTTAAAAAAAACCCCCCCCTTTTTTTTTTTTTTTTAAAAAAAAAAAAATTTTTTTCCCCCCCCCCCCCCCTTTTTTTTTCCCCCCCCCCCCCCCCCTTAAATTTTTTTTTAAAATTTTTTTTAAAATTTTTTTTTTCCCCCCTTTCCCCCCCCCCCCCCCCTTTTTCTCTCCCCCCCCCCCCCCCCCCCCCCCCCTTTCCCCTCCCCCTCCCCCTTTCTCTCTCTCTTTTTTTTTTTTTTTTTTTTTAAAAAAATAAATATATAAAAAATATAAAAAAAATTTTTTTTTCCCTCGGTTTTCCCCCCTTCCCACCTCCCCAATTCCCTTTTTTAAAACCCCCCCCCCCCAAAAAATTTTTTTTTTTTAAAAAATTATTTTTTTTTTAAAAAAAAAAACCCCCTTCCCCCCCCCCTTTTTCCCCCCCCCCTTTTTTTTTTTCCCTTTTTTTTTTTCCCCCCCCCCCCCCCTTTTTTCCCCAAAAAAAAATGGGTCCCCCCTTTCCCCCTTTTTTCCCCCCCTTTTTTTTTTCCCCCCCCCTTTTTTTTCCCCCCCCGGGGCCCCCCCCCTCTTTTTTTTTTTTTTTTTTCTTTTTAAAAAAAATTTTTTTCCCCCTTTTTTTTTTTCCCCCCCCCTTTTGGGGGTTTTTTTCCCCTTTTTTTTTTAAAATTTTAAAAATTTTAAATTTTTTTTTTAAAAAATTTCCCAAAAAAAAACCAACCCCCCCCAAAAAAACCCCCCCCCCCCGGGGGGGGGGGAAAAAAAAAACCAAATTAAAAATTTTTTCCCCAAAAAAGGGGGGAAAATTTTTTCCCCCCCCCCTTTCCAAAAATTTGGGCCAAAAAAAAACCCCCCCCCTTTGGTTTTTTCCCCCCCCCTCTTGGGGTTTTAAAATTTGGCCCCCGGGGGGGAAAAAAAAAAACCCCAAAGGGGCCCCCCGGGAGGGGGCCCCCCCTTTCCCCCCCCCCAAAACCCCTTTTTTGGGGTTTTTTTCCCCCTTTTGGGGGGAAAAAGGGCCCTTTTTAAATAAAAACCCCCCCCCCTTACCCCCTTTTCCCCAAACTTTTCCCCAAAAAAAAATTTCCCCCCAAAAAAATTTCCCCCCCCCCCCCCCCCCCCCCGGGGTTTTAACGAAAATTTTTTTTTAAAAAGGGAAAAAAAGGGGAAGCCAAAAAAAATTTTTTTTCCCCCCCCCCCCAAAATTTTAAAAACCCTTTTTTTAAAGGCCCCCCAAAATTTTGGGGGGGGGGGGGGAAAAAAAAAACCCCAACCCTTTTTCCCCCGGAAAAAGGGGGCCCCCCCCCCCCAAAAAGGGGGTTTTTCTTTCCCCCCTTTTTTTAAACCCCCCCCCCAAAAAATTTTTTGGGGGGAAATTCCCCCCCCCCCGGGGGGGGGTTTTTTTTTTTCCCCCCCGGGGGGGGGTTTCCCCCCCCCTTTTTTGGGGGGGGGGGGGGGTTTTTTTTCCCCCCCTTAACGATGCACTAAAATGACCAAAAGTATGTGGACACCTGTTCGTCCACATCTCATTCCAAAATCATGGGCTTTAATATGGAGTTGGTCCCCCCTTTGCTTCTATAACAGCCTCCACTCTTCTGGGAAGGCTTTCCACTAGATGTTGGAACAATGCTGCGGGGACTTGCTTCCATTCAGCCACAAGAGCATTAGTGACGTTGGGCACTGACGATTAGGCCTGGCTCGAAGTCGGCGTTCCAATTCATCCCAAAGGTGTTCGATGGGGTTGAGGTCAGGGCTCTGTGCAGGCCAGTCAAGTTCTTCCACACCGATCTCAACAAACCATTTCTGTATGGACCTCGCTTTGTGCACGGAGCATTGTCATGCTGAAACAGGAAAGGGCCTTCCCCAAACTGTCGCCACAAAGTTGGAAGCACAGAATCGTCTAGAATGTCATTGCATGCTGTAGCGTTAAGATTTCCCTTCACTGGAACTAAAGGGCCTAGCCTAACCATGAAAAACAGCCCCAGACCATTATTCCTCCTCCACCAAACTTTACAGCTGGCACTATGCATTGTGGCAGGTAGCGTTCTCTAACCCAGATTCGTCCATCGGACTGCCAGATGGTGAATCGTGATTTATCACTCCAGAGAACGTGTTTCCACTGCTCCAGAGTCCAATGGCGGCGAGCTTTACACCACTCCAGCCGACGCTTGGCATTGCGCATGGTGATCTTAGGCTTGTGTGCGGCTGCTCAGCCATGGAAACCCATTTTATGAAGTTCCCGACGCACAGTTCTTGTGCTGACATTGCTTCCAGAGGCAGTTTGGAAGTCGGTAGTGAGTGTTGCGTCGCGGCTGAGCCGTTGTTGCTCCTAGACGTTTCCACTTCACAATAACAGAACTTACAGTTGACCGGGGCAGCTCTAGCAGGGCAGAAATTTGACGAACTGACTTGTTGGAAAGGTGACATCCTATGACGGTGCCACGTTGAAAGTCACTGAGCTCTTCATTAAGGCCATTCTACTGCCAATGTTTGTCTGTGGAGATTGCATGGCTGTGTGCTCGATTTTATAGACCTGTCAGCAACGGGTGTGGCTGAAATGGCAGAATCCACTCATTTGAAGGGGTGTCCACACACTGCTGGATATATATAGTGGATGAAGGGGTGTCCACATACTGCTAGATATATATAGTGGATGAAGGGGTGTCCACATACTGCTGTATATATAGTGGATGAAGGGGTGTCCACATACTGCTGTATATATAGTGTATGAAGGGGTGTCCACATACTGCTAGATATATAGTGGATGAAGGGGTGTCCACATACTGCTGTATATATAGTGGATGAAGGGGTGTCCACATACTGCTGTATATATATATATAGTGGATGAAGGGGTGTCCACATACTGCTGTATATATAGTGTATGAAGGGGTGTCCACATACTGCTGTATATATAGTGGATGAAGGGGTGTCCACATACTGCTGTATATATCTCCCGAGTGGCGCAGTGGTCTAAGGCACTGCATAGCAGTGCTAGCTGTGCCACTAGAGATCCTGGTTCGAATCCAGGCTCTGTCGTAGCCGGCCGTGACCGGGAGACCCATGGGGCGGCGCGCAATTGGCCCAGCGTCGTCCAGGGTAGGGGAGGGAATGGCCGGCAGGGATGTAGCTCAGTTGATAGAGCATGGCGTTTGCAACACCAGGGTTGTGGGTTCGATTCCCACATGGGGTATGAAAAAAATAATAATAATGTATGCACTAACTGTAAGTCGCTCTGGATAAGAGCGTCTGCTAAATACTAAAAGATAAAATGTAAATGTATATGAGCTCAGGTGCATCCAATTTCCTTTGATCATCTTTGATGTCTCTACAACTTGATTGGAGTTCACCTGTGGCCAGTTCACCTGGATGTCTTTGATTGTTCTTCCTTTTTCCCCTTCTCTCTCTCATCCTCTCCTCTCTCCCTCTCTCACTCTCTCCCCTCCCTCTCAGGTCCTCTTCTCCCTCTTCCTTGTTCCCTCTCCCCCCTCTCCCTGTCCCTCTTCTCCCTCGCTCCATCCCTGTCCCGTCCTCTCCTCTCTCCCTGTCCCTCCCTCTCCCTCGTCCCCTCCCTCTCTCTCCCGTTCCCCTCTCTCCTCCCTCTCCCTCCCTCCTCTCTCCCTCTTCCCCTCTCTCCCTCTCCCTGTCCCTCTCCCTCCCTCTCCCTCCCCTCTCCCCCTCTCCCTGTCCCTGTCCCTCTCTCTCTCTAGATGTTAAACCTGAGCCAGGCGTTAAAGGATAATAAAACTCCCATCCAGTTGGTCCAGATGCCAAGAGTGGTGGTGGAGAGAAGCCAGACAGGAGGACAGGGGAGGGTGGTAACGTTAGGAACAGCTTTCACCCAGACCTTCCACTGCAAGAGACCCTTCTTCTCCTCCTGGTAGAGGGAGGGAGGGAGGGAGGGAGGGAGGGGTGGGTGGAGAGATCCTTCACTGCAACACACTGACCTACCCTCCTGCACCCCCTCCCTCCCTTCTAGAGAGAGAGCAGGAGAGAGAGAGGAGTCAGTGAGGGGTGGAGAGGAAAGTGTGGTGATACGAGGAGGAGAGAGGGAGTGTGTGTTGATATCTGGACGCTTTGGTAGACTAGTGGAGCAGAGAAAGAGAGAGACTCAGGGCATCTTTCCTCCAGAGGGATTGGAGTTGGACACATCACACGTCTGAGAAATGTCCCAAATGGCACCCTATCCCCTTTATAGTGCACTACATTAGGGCCTGGTCAATAGGGTTAGTGCACTATAAAGGGAATAGTGCACTACATTAGGGCCTGGTCAATAGGGTTAGTGCACTATAAAGGGAATAGTGTGTCATTTGGGACGTATCCTGAGTGTCTTGAGCTCAAAGGAGAGAACCCAGGACCTCCCAAATAAGGCTATTCCCTTATGTACAGTAGTGCACTACTTTTGACCAGAGCCCTCACAGGGTTAGTGCACTTAGGGGATATGGTGCGATTTGGGACACACACCGGCGACTTCGGTTCCGCACTACTGCCAAAATCATTTTAATAGAAGAATTAAGAAACAACTTTTTGAAGGAATGAAATGATGTTAAAACTGGAAAAATATATATAATAATGTATGTTGCTTTGAATGTAAGTGAGTTTACAGTTTATATTTAAATACAGCAACGTACTCCGAGACATTTCAATGAGAGGGAATACTGTTGACAATGTTTCGACCCGAATAGCACTGCTTTTGAGTCGCTTTTTGGGATGCACTCGATTGTATTTTTCATAGCAATGAATGTATTTGTTGATTTAACATGCATGTATATAATTGCTGGTGACAGTATGCTCTTGGCTATTATGGGATGGGTGGTGGCTTAAACTTAAGGTAGACAGTGCAATATGATGTCATCAGGCACCGTGCGCGGGGGGGGGTGGCGAACTTCCTGCTTAAAGACAACAACAACAATTAGAATCTGCCAAGACTGAGGCTGCGATTCAATCTGATCGCAGGTTAATAGGCGACGATGTTCCAGCGTTCACAGAGATCCCATTTCGCAGTAAACGCTGCCAAGACTGAGGCTGGGATTCAATCTGATCGCAGGTTAATAGGCGACGATGTTCCAGCGTTCACAGAGATCCCATTTCGCAGTAAACGCTGCGCGTGTCGGCTCAATCAGAAGTTGCCTTTTTTTAAAAGCCACAAAGCTGCAAATAACCCACGATCAGATTGAATCCCGGCCTGATTCTCCATCCAATAGTGGAACTCCTGGCAGAATTGTATTCTGTTGTTGTCGTGATTTGTTGTTGTCTGTAAACAGGAAGTTACCCCCGCTATGTTTTATTGACGTCATATTGCCGAGTCTTCCCGTTAATCTCCCTCCAAATGTAAAAATAAGGACGTTCGCACACTTGCTAAACATTTGCTGCATTCCAAATGGAACCCTATTCCCTACACAGTGCACTACTTTTGACCTGCGCTAATAGGGCCAAAGTAGTGCACTATTCCTGGATAAAAGTAGTGAACTGTATAGTGAATAGGGTGCCGTTTGTGACACAGACACTGGGGGGGGGTTCAAATGTATGCATCTTGACATTTTCTATTCCTATTGTATAATGATTGTAAAGGTAAAATTGTATTTTTCTTTTTTTTTTTATGATGGAAACAATAAATACATTTGGGATTGGTTAAATGTGAACTCCTCCTCTTCATTGATCTATGTAATGTTCACTATGGCCGTGTCCCAATACCAGACGTACCTTCTAAATAGTAGCCATTTTGGGTATACACATATAGGTTTATTACTACATGACATTGCTAGAATTGAGTATGCTTTTAATGCCAGGAGGCCATATTCATTGAGTATGCTTTTAATGCCAGGATGCAGGATGCCATACTATATATGCCAAATTATATTTGTCACATACACGTGTTTAGCAGATGTTATTGCAGGTGTAGAGAAATGCTTTTGCTTCTAGCTCCGACAGTGCAGTAATATCTAACAAGTAATATCTAACAATTTCACAACATATACCCAATACAAACACATCTAAGTAAGGAATGGAATTATGAATATATACATATATATATATGGAGAAGCAACGACAGAGCGGCATGGACTAAGATACAGTAGAATATTATAGAATAGAATGCAGTATATACATATGAGATGAGTAGTGCAAGATATGGAAACATTATTAAAGTGACTAGTGTTCCATTTCTTAAAGTGGCCAGTGATTTCAATAGGCAGCAGCAGCCTCTAATATGCTAGTGATGGCTATTTAACAGTCTGATGGCCTTGAGATAGAAGCTGATTTTCATTCTCTCGGTCCCAGCTTTGATGCACCTGTACTGACCTCGCCTTCTGGATGATAGCGGGGTGAACAGGCAGTGGCTCAGGTGGTTGATGTCCTTGATGATCTTTTTGGCCTTTCTGTGACATCGGGTGCTGTATGTGTCTTGGAGGGCGGGTAGTTTGCCCCCGGTAATGCGTTCGGCAGACCGCACCACCCTCTGGAGAGCCCTGCGGTTGCGGGCGGTGCAGTTGCCGTACCAGGAGGTGAAACAGCCCGACAAGATGCTCTCAATTGTGCATCTTTAAAAGTTTGTGAGGGTTTTAGGTGCCAAGCCAAATTTCTTCAGCCTCCTGAGGTTGAAGAGGCTCTTGTTTCTTCACCACACTGTCTGTGTGGATGGACCATTTCAGTTTGTCAGTGATGTGTATGCCGAGGAACTTGAAGCTTTCCACCTTCTCCACTGCGGCCCCGTCGATGTGGATAGGGGGGTGCTCCCTCTGCTGTTTCCTGAAGTCCACGATCATCTCCTTTGTTTTGTTGACGTTGAGTGAGAGGTTATTTTCCTGGCACCACACTCCCAGAGCCCTCACCTCCTCCCTGTAGGCTGTCTCGTCATTGTTGGTAATCAAGCCTACTACTGTTGTGTCGTCTGCAAACTTGATGATTGAGTTGGAGGTGTGCTTGGCCACGCAGTCATGGGTGAACAGGGAGTACAGGAAGGGGCTGAGCACGCACCCTTGTGGGGCCCCAGTTTTGAGGATCAGCGAAGTGGAGATGTTTCCTACCTTCACCACCTGGGGGCGGCCCGTCAGGAAGTCCAGGACCCAGTTGCACAGGGCGGTGTTCAGACCCAGGGCCTGGAGCTTAATGATGAGCTTGGAGGGTACTATAGTGTTGAATGCTGAACTATAGTCAATGAACAGCATTCTTACATAGGTATTCCTCTTGTCCAGATGGGATAGGGCAGTGTGATGGCGATTGCATCGTCTGTGGATCTATTGGGGCGGTAAGCAAATTGAAGTGAGTCTAAGGTGACAGGTAAGGTAGAGGTGATATGATCCTTGACTAGTCTCTCAAAGCACTTCATGATGACAGAGGTGAGTGCTACGGGGCGATAGTCATTTAGTTCAGTTACCTTTGCATTCTTGGGTACAGAAACAATTGTGGACATCTTGAAGCATGTGGGGACAGCAGACTGGGAAAGGGAGAGATTGAATATGTCCATAAACACACCAGCCAGCTGGTCTGCGCATGCTCTGAGGACGCGGCTAGGGATGCCGTCTGGGCCGGCAGCCTTGCGGGGGTTAACATGCTTACATACACTTCGGCCACGGGTATGCTTTTAATGGCAGGATGCCATACTGATTGAGTATTTCAGCTAGTACGAGACACTGTATAAAACAGAAGTGTACACTGATTAATAGACAGAGCTATGGATCCAATAACTAATCATCTAGATTAATAGACAGAGCTATGGAACCAATAACTAATCATCTAGATTAATAGACAGAGCTATGGAACCAATAACTAATCATCTAGATTAATAGACAGAGCTATGGATCCAATAACTAATCATCTAGATTAATAGACTGAGCGATGGAACCAATAACTAATCATCTAGATTAATAGACAGAGCTATGGAACCAATAACTAATCATCTAGATTAATAGACAGAGCTATGGAACCAATAACTAATCATCTAGATTAATAGACTGAGCTATGGATCCAATAACTAATCATCTAGATTAATAGACTGAGCGATGGATCCAATAACTAATCATCTAGATTAATAGACTGAGCGATGGATCCAAGACCTGAACATCCATGACATCAAAATGATGTTTTCAAGCTGTATAGTAGATGTATAACAAGCTTGTATTCTGGGTTGTGATGGGGTAGGACAGTTGAACTAAGCTCATGAGTTATAATAATAATAATAATATGCCATTTAGCAGACGCTTTTATCCAAAGCGACTTACAGTCATGTGCGCATACATGTTTACGTATCGGTGGTCCCAGGGATGGAACCCACTACCCTGGCGTTACAAGCGCCATGCTCTACCAATTGAGCTACAGAGGACCTAAGTTATATTCTTGAAGAATCAATGGCTACTTATCAATCATAAAAAATAAAATAAAAGGTCAAGATTCAGGATTGCCCTTTTCCAGTTCAGTCATATCCTGATGAATTGGAGGGGGTTCCATGGAATTACAACGAGAACTAAATAGATGTAGAAATATCAAGTCTACCTCTACATCTCTTCACCTACTGTAGGCCCCATTTCAGTTGTTTGTTTCACCTTTTCAGTTTCCTCAAGGTCATGACGCTGGACAGGACATGATGGAGAGAAGGAAGAAAGAACAGAAAGAAAAAGAAAGATGGAAAGAAAAGAGGAAAGAAAAGAGAGAACCGTAACAGTTATCTTAATTGTCCACTAGATGGCGCACTGCAGTCAGTTAACTTTTGCCCAATTGGCTGGCAGCCTGTTTGTGTGCCAGACACACAGTGCCCGTGCGTGCGTAGCTGCGTGCCAGGGAGGGAGGTTTGCCATGGTGGGTCTGCCTCCAGTGTCCACACTGAGTTCTTGAAAGAGGGAGAGGGGAGGTAGAGAAACATTAATCATGATCTATCTGTCACAGTGTCGAAGTTAGGAAAACTGAATCAGTCGCTCAGTCTGTCTTGGCTGTGCTCCTCTTCCACTCCTCACTACGCAGTTAGCAGTCGGAAACGTATAGGTTATTGTATTTGTTTCTATAGGTATTTTAAGTATTTACATTTCTGGAGTCTGAGGAATTGAATATCCAACTGATAAAAGGAGACTTGCTTGTTGAAGAGACAACTATGTAACTATCCACCTGTATTCCTCCTGAACTCCAGTCCAGCTCTGCTTTTACAGACAATCTCTCTTTTTATTTATTTTATTTATTTATATATTTCTTTCAGGCTTTTTTGCTTCCCCCTCTTTTAATTACCGAATTCTCGGGATGCGGGTGTTCCTGTTCGCGGCGACGGTATTTTTCGCGCACCAGCTCACCGGGTCCGGTGCAGGTACCGGTGCCGGCGCCGAGTCCCGCTCCAAAAAGTGTTCCTCCCCGTGCGACGTGAGCGCGTGTCCTAGTCCGAACTGCCCCAGCGGGTACGTCCCAGACCGGTGCAACTGTTGCCTGGTGTGTTCCCGGGGCGAGGGTGAACCCTGTGGCCGGAAGAACGACCTCCCGTGTGGTGACGGGTTGGAGTGTAGGTCCCCTAACGGTCCCGGTAAGGGCCAGTCGGGGAAGCGGAGCTCCAAGCGCCGGCTGTGTCAGTGTAAGACGAGGTTTAAGGTGTGTGGTAGCGACGGAAAGACGTACGGGAATGTGTGTCGGATGAAGGCTGCCAGCCGGAAAGCTCTTCAGAAGGAAAGGGAGGACATCACCCAAGCACACAAGGGCCCCTGTCCAGCAGGTAAGCCATTAGCCTAGCTCTCATCCAGGGCGTTACGTGCGGCTTGAGTTGAGTTTTATTTTAGGAGTACAATGGCAGCTCAAAGCTGTATCTGAAGAAGGCCCTGTCCACATGTAAAGCCCTGGGCCAGAGCTAGCATATACAGTGCATTTGAAAGTACTCAGACCCCTTGACCTTTTCCACATTTTGTGACATTACAGCCTTATTCTAAAATGGATAAAATTCTACACACAATACCCCATAACGACAAAGCAAAAACAGGTTTTTTATACATGTTTGCTAATTTATTAAAAATAAAAAACTGAAATATTACATTTACATAAGTATTCAGACCCTTTACTCAGCACTTTGTTGAAGCACCTTTGGCAGCGATTACAGCCTCGAGTTTTCTTGGGTATGACGCTACAAGCTTGGCACACCTGTATTTGGGGAGTTTCTCCCATTCTTCTCTGCAGGTTGTCTCAAGCTCTGTCAGGTTGGATGGGGAGCATCGCTGCACAGCTATTTTCAGGTCTCTCCAGAGATTTTTAGATTTTAGTCCGGGCTCTGGCTGGGCCACTGAAGACATTCAGAGACTTGTCCCGAAGCCACTTCTGCGTTGTCTTGGCTGTGTGCTTAGGGTCGTTGTCCTGTTGGAAGGTGAACCTTCGCCCCAGTCTGAGGTCCTGAGCGCTCTGGAGCAGGTTTTCATCAAAGATCTCTCTGTACTTTGCTCCATTCATCTTTCCCTTGATCCTGACTAGTCTCCCAGTCCCTGCCACTAAAAAACATTCCCACAGCATGATGCTGCCACCACCATGCTTCACCGTAGGGATGGTATTGGCCAGGTGATGAGCGGTGCCTGGTTTCCTCCAGACATATTTGTAATTATTATGGATCCCCATTAGCTGCTGCCAAGGCTTCTGTGAAGAGACCTCTGGTGGCATGTCTTGTGGGGTATGCATGGGTGTCCGAGCTGTGTGCCAGTAGTTCAAACAAACAGCTCGTGCATTCAACATGTCAATACCTCTCACAAATACAAGTAGTGATGAAGTCAATCTCTCCTCCACTTTGAGCCAGGAGAGATTGACATGCATATTATTAATGTTAGCTCTCTGTGTACATCCAAGGGCCAGCCGTGCTGCCCTGTTCTGAGCCAATTGCAATTTTCCTAAGTCCCTCTTTGTGGCACCTGACCACACGACTGAACAGTAGTCCAGGTGCGACAAAACTAGGGCCTGTAGGACCTGCCTTTATTATGGACATACTTCTCCCCATCCTAGCTACTGTTGTATCAATATGTTTTGACCATGACAGTTTACAATCCAGGGTTACTCCAAGCAGTTTAGTCTCCTCAACTTGCTCAATTACCACATTATTCATTACAATATTTAGTTGAGGTTTAGGGTTTAGTGAATGATTTACCCCAAATACAATGCTTTTAGTTTTTGAAATATTTAGGACTAACTTATTCCTTGCCACCCATTCTGAAACGAACTGCAGATCTTTATTAAGTGTTGCAGTCATTTCAGTCGCTGTGGTAGCTGACATGTATAGTGGTGAGTCATCCGCATACATAGACACACTGGCTTTACTCAAAGCCAGTGGCATGTCGTTAGTAAAGATTGAAAAAGTAAGGGGCCTAGACAGCTGCCCTGGGGAATTCCTGATTCTACCAGGATTTTTGTTGGAGATGGTTCCATTAAAGAAAACCCCCTATGTTCTGTTAGACAGGTAACTCTTTATCCACAATATAGCACGGGGTGTAAAGCCATAACACATACGTTTTTCCAGCAGCAGACTATGATCGATAATGTCAAAAGCTGCACTGAAGTCTAACAAAACAGCCCTGACAAACTTTTTATCATCAATTTTTCTCAGCCAATCATCAGTCATTTGTGTATGTGATGTGCTTGTTGAATGTCCTTCCCTATAAGCGTGCTGAAAGTCTGTTGTCAATTTGTTTACTGTAAAATAGCATTGTATCTGGTCGAACACCATTTTTTCCAAAAGTTCACAAAGGGTTGGTAACAGGCTGATTGGTCGGCTATTTGAGCCAGTAAAGGGGGCTTTACTATCCCTAGGTAGGGGAATAACTCTTCCCTCCAGGCCTGAGGGCACACACTTTCTAGTAGGCTTAAATTGAAGATATGGCAAATAGGAGTGACGCTTGGCATTCAGGCCAAAGAGTTCAATCTTGGTTTCATCAGACCAGAGAATCTTGTTTCTCATGGTCTGAGAGTCCTTTAGGTGCCTTTTGGCAAACTCCAAGCGGGCTGTCATGTGCCTTTTACTGAGGAGTGGCTTCCGTCTGGCCTCTCTACCATAAAGGCCTGATTGGTGGAGTGCTGCAGAGATGGTTGTCCTTCTGGAAGGTTCTCCAATCTCCACAGAGGAACTCTGGAGCTCTGTCAGAGTGACCATCTGGTTCTTGGTCACCTCCCTGACCAAGGCCCTTCTCCCCCGATTGCTCAGTTTGGCCGGGCGGCCAGCTCTAGGAAGAGTCTTGGTGGTTCCAAACTTCTTCCATTTAAGAATGATGGAGGCCACCGTGTTCTTGGGGACCTTCAATGCTGCAGAACGTTTTTTGGTACCCTTCCCAGATCTGTGTCTCGACACAATCCTGTCTCAGAGCTCTACGGACAATTCCTTCAACCTCATGGCTTGATTTTTGCTCTGACATGCACTGTCAACAGTGGAACCTTATATAGACAGGTGTGTGCCTTTCCAAATCATGTCCAATCAATTGAATTTACCACAGGTTGACTCCAATCAAGTTGTAGAAACATCTCAAGGATGATCAATGAAAACAGGATGCACCTGAGCTCAATTTCGAGTCTCATGGCAAAGGGTCTGAATACATATCTAAATAAGGTATTTCTGGGGTTTTTTAAATACATTTTCAAAAATGTTTAAAAACCTGTTTTCGCTTTGTCATTATGAGGTATTGTGTGTAGATTGATGAGGACAAAAAATGATTTAATCAATTTTAGAAGAAGGCTGTGACGTAACAAAATGTGGAAAAAAGTCAACGGGTCTGAATACTTTCCGAATACACTGTAGGCTAATTTGTCTTATTGTTTTAAAAACCCAATCTTCCCATATAGTCTATTTCTCCAATGGTGTCTGTCTGGCTGTTGTTGCCCAGGCTTTATTAACCTATCACAGGCCTACAGTCATTATCAGAGCTGAGTTTGAATGTTCAACATTGGATTTCTGAAGTTGTATGCTATTTGCTTATGAGATTGCTTTTTCTAGAAACTTAATTTGAGATGACTTATCTGAGCATGTGGGAATATTGTGTTCCATATGTGGAATGGAATGTAATAGTCCAGTTCTAATGAGTAGGGCTATGAATTATGGGTTCTAACGGTTCTGCTGTGGTTTCTGTTAGGGGAGAAATACCATGGCAGTGAATCACCTTTGACTCTTTTCCTTTGAATGCAGTTACAACAACAACAACAACAACTACAACATTCACTCTCTCCTTTTCCTCTTCTCTCCTACCTCCTCCTCTTCTCTCCTCCTCCCTCCTCCTCTTCTCTCCTCCTCCTCCTCTTCTCTCCTCCTCCCTCCTCTCTCCTCCTCCTCCCCTCTTCCTCCTCCTCCTCCTGCTCCTCTTCTCTCCTCCTCTTCTCTCCTCCTCAGTCCTTCCCCTCATCCTCCGTTCCGATCCCACCATTCTAAATCTTAACTCTAGCATTCAATTTTTAAACACTCTAATTCAAACATTCTACAACATACTCAAACAATTCCATTTCAAACATTCTAAGTGCAATATTCCGCTAGTTGTGAGTGTGACTGAGTGTTGTAGAGAGTGGTGGTAGTGTTTCTGTGTTGACATGATGGGTTCTTGTTGCCAGTATAGGTCCTACTCCTGTCCATCCCAACAGCCCCAGATACAAGTTCAACTTCATAGCTGACGTGGTGGAAAAGATCGCTCCTGCTGTGGTTCACATAGAGCTCTTCCTCAGGTCACTGGCTGTGTGTCTGTGTGTGTGTGTGTGTGTGTCTGTGTGTGTGTGTGTGTGTGTGTGTGTGTGTGTGTGTGTGTGTGTGTGTCTGTCTGTGTGTCTGTGTGTCTGTGTGTGTGTGTGTGTGTGTGTCTGTGTCTGTGTCTGTGTGTCTGTGTCTGTGTGTCTGTGTGTCTGTAAGTGTGTGTGTCTGTGTGTGTGTGTGTGCGCACTCTTAGAAAAAATTGTTCCAAAAGGGTTCTTCGGCTGTCCACATAGGAGAACCCTTTTTGGTTCCAGGTAGAACCCTTTTTGGTTCCAGGTAGATCTATTTTCGGATCCATGTAGAGCCCTCTGTGGAACCCAAAAGGGTTCTGCCTGGAACACACACACACACGTACACACGGTTCTCCTGTGGGAACAGCCGAATAACCATTTTAGGTTCTAGATAGCACCTTTTTTTCTAAGAGTGAACTGAACACACCCTGAATGTAAATTATTCTTCTCTCTCTCTCTCTCTCTCTCTCTCTCTCTCTCTCTCTCTCTTTCTCTTTCTCTTTCTCTTTCTCTTTCCTTTCCTGTCTCTCTCTCTCCTCTCTCAGACATCCTCTGTTTGGTCGTCATATCCCTCTGTCTAGTGGTTCTGGGTTCATCATCAGCCACTCCGGACTCATCGTAACCAACGCTCACGTGGTAAGCGCTGCTGCTACGGTTACGGGCCGACCACAGCTCCGCGTGCAGCTCCATGACGGGGGAGCATATGAGGCCACGGTCCGGGACGTCGACAGGAAGTCGGATATCGCCACCATCAAAGTAAACTCTCAGGTAACCTTTACCCTTAATTTAACAGGTTAGGTGGCCAGATAGAGAGAGAGAGAGGCTGAGATAAAGGGAGAGAGGGTGAGAGAGAGAGGTTGAGAGAGGGTGAGAGAGGGTGAGAGAGAGAGAGAGAGAGAGAGAGAGGGTGAGAGAGAGGGTGAGAGGCGGGTGAGAGGGTGAGATAGAGGTGAGAGAGAGGGTGAGAGAGAGAGAGGGAGAGAGAGGGTGAGAGGAGAGAGAGGGATGAGGAGAGGGAGAGGGGAGAGATAGGGTAGGAGAGGGTGAGAAGAGAGAGTGTACGAGATAGCGCGGGGGTAGATAGGTTAGAGGGAGAGAGGAGGGAGAGGGGTGAGAGAGAGGGGTGGATAGAGGGGGTTGAGGAGAGGGCGGAGTGGAGAGAGAGGTGAGCGAGCGAGGGTGGAGAAGAGGGTGGGGAGAGGTCGCGAGCGGGTGAGATAGAGGTGAGGAGGAGAGAGGGATAGAGAGAGAGAGGGTGAGATAGAGGGTGAAATAGAGGGAGAGAGGGTGAGATAGAAAGAGCGAGAGGGTGAGATAGAGAGAGAGAAAGAGGGAGAGATAAGGAGGAAGGGGGAGGTGTACGAAGCCACCTTCAGAGACGTAGACGAAGATCACCTGCAGTTTCCGCTCCACTCGCAAGACTCGGTTCAACCTGCAGTTTGGTTGCCTGCTCCAACTCAGTGTCCCAATGACTCTAAGCCTTCACACTGCAGTTTGGTTTCCCTGCTCCAACTCAGTGTCCCCATGACTCTAAGCCTTCACACTGCAGTTTGGTTTCCCTGCTCCAACTCAGTGTCCCAATGACTCTAAGCCTTCACACTGCAGTTTGGTTTCCCTGCTCCAACTCAGTGTCCCAATGACTCTAAGCCTTCACACTGCAGTTTGGTTTCCCTGCTCCAACTCAGTGTCCCAATTACTCTAAGCCTTCACACTGCAGTTTGGATTCCCTGCTCCAACTCAGTGTCCCAATGACTCCAAGCCTTCACACTGCAGTTTGGATTCCCTGCTCCAACTCAGTGTCCCAATGACTCCAAGCCTTCACACTGCAGTTTGGATTCCCTGCTCCAACTCAGTGTCCCAATGACTCCAAGCCTTCACACTGCAGTTTGGATTCCCTGCTCCAACTCAGTGTCCCAATGACTCCAAGCCTTCACACTGCAGTTTGGTTTCCCTGCTCCAACTCAGTGTCCCCATGACTCTAAGCCTTCACACTGCAGTTTGGTTTCCCTGCTCCAACTCAGTGTCCCCATGACTCTAAGCCTTCACACTGCAGTTTGGTTTCCCTGCTCCAACTCAGTGTCCCAATGACTCTAAGCCTTCACACTGCAGTTTGGTTTCCCTGCTCCAACTCAGTGTCCCCATGACTCTAAGCCTTCACACTGCAGTTTGGTTTCCCTGCTCCAACTCAGTGTCCCAATGACTCTAAGCCTTCACACTGCAGTTTGGTTTCCCTGCTCCAACTCAGTGTCCCAATGACTCTAAGCCTTCACACTGCAGTTTGGTTTCCCTGCTCCAACTCAGTGTCCCAATGACTCTAAGCCTTCACACTGCAGTTTGGATTCCCTGCTCCAACTCAGTGTCCCAATGACTCCAAGCCTTCACACTGCAGTTTGGATTCCCTGCTCCAACTCAGTGTCCCAATGACTCCAAGCCTTCACACTGCAGTTTGGATTCCCTGCTCCAACTCAGTGTCCCAATGACTCCAAGCCTTCACACTGCAGTTTGGATTCCCTGCTCCAACTCAGTGTCCCAATGACTCCAAGCCTTCACACTGCAGTTTGGTTTCCCTGCTCCAACTCAGTGTCCCCATGACTCTA